GTGATGCCCTAGTGGCCCTTAAATAAATAAATAAATAAACCAGAAAGTTCAGTTGGGTCGTCACTTTCGCAAAGTGGATGTGCGGGGTTCTGGGAACATTGGCCGACTGTATCCGAGCTTATATTTCCATGTGAGGCCGCGAAGCTTTGCGTCTAGAGGATACTAAAATAGCGGTGATTGTTGGGAACACCGAGAGTTCGCTGGGGTGCTCGGTTCCGGACGCTTTCCGTGCAAAAGGATAGTGACGTTATTTTTCGCGTCTGCTCGCGAGCAGCAAGAAGGTCAATGTTGCCGCAAAACTCGATTGTACTGTGGCGCGCAAGAACTTGGAATAACGCTCTTTATAGTGCCTTATCTCATAATATTGTTTCATTGAACCGTTCGTTTTTAACATTTTACACAATCCTCAGTTCAATATTTTGGAACTTTTGTGTTTGTACAAAACAAATGCACACACCGTATCCACGCATTCTTACGATAAATTACAGTCGTAGAACGCTCGAAATTTTTCCTGGATTTGGAGTGGGTCAGCTATATAATCCTTCACTCTAGAGGAGCCGTCGAATTCCGGAACGGTGGCTTTTAAGTAAACGCCGAGGAATGCGTTTCCCTGTGTACGGATATTTTGTCCCCTTCAAGGACGGGGATTGGAGGCTCAGTAAAGTGTTTACATCATTAGGGCGCGCGCCCAGAACGACAACAACGTCCTTCAAGGCCAATCAATGTTCGCGACGTCAGTTTCTTGTGGTTTATGTTTTAAATGAAATCAATGTGCTCCCCTTTCTTTGCCTTTACGCTTCTCCCCCCCCCCCCCCTCCCCTCTTTTTTATTTTATTTCTGAAGTATGCAATTTGGAACAACACAAAAATAAGGCGCTCTTAGAAAAGTCTTTCACTCGACCACGAATGCAGTATTTGTCGTTTCGCTCTCTCTAGGTTTTATTTTTGGTTTTTGTTTTGTTTTAGGAGTTTTTTTATAAACTAGTCTAAATGAAAGCGCATTTATCTATATATATATATATATATATTTCTTTTCAAAGAATGTTCCGCGTACGGGTACAAGAGTCGGGAAGGCAAGCGACGTCTGTGCTCGTTTCTTTTATAATATTTTATTTATTTTTTCAAAGGACTCGGCGACTGCGAGAGCGCCGACAATTTTCCCGAGGAAACTCGCTTTCAAATGCGGGACAAGCGAGACTCTTATGGGTGCCCCTTAAACGGATTAAAGAGATTACTTCCATTAGGAGGGACGTAATTTGGGGAAATTCATGACCCACATCTGGGCAAAACGGATTCGGGAACCAATCATTTGCGTCCTGTGTCGGTCTGCCGTCCGCCTTCTCCGACGAACGGGTCTGCGCAGTTGAATTCCGAAGGACACCGAAGGGAAACGCGAAAAGGGCACTGACGCAAAAGAGACGCGTTGACTGGAGTCCTTCTTCGCGTCGGCCGGTTCATTGGCGTCGTTTCGCGGCAGGCCGGGCTTGTCCAGCTCCCACATGCGCAGTTCGTATCAGGGGTCGTACCGTGTCGATGTGCAAAAACACTTCCCTAAAACTCCCTACTGTTTTACGACGCACGAGGGATGTGCGTGCCCGCCGCTGAAAGTATAGGGGAAATGTACTGGAGATGCTCCGCCATTTCGCTTAGGCAGCTTGGAACGCTTTATGTGCGCGTGCATGATGGTGGAAACGTTGCGTGTTTACATGAAAGAGGGAGACTTTCTCTCGACCAACTTGGTCCGAGCCGGACAGGAGGAAATTGGAATGGCTGAAAACCAAGACTAGCTGCGGTCGGGAGGTTTAGGGGGGCGGGCGCTCGTTCAGAGGGTGTAACTTCGAGCGCGGTACTTCGGGGGCACGGCACCGAGGAGGAGATTTCTTATATAAGAAGGAATTGTGAGCTGTAGAGGGTTAGCGCTGACGCAGCTGAGAACGTTCGAACTGCCGGCGCCAGCGTGAATCATCGAAGGAGGGATACAGCGGCGGGCATTAGTGGCAACCTTCGCCGCTAATAATTCCGGATTATTTTTATGCTCTACTAGCATACGCCAGATAATCAACACGCCGAAATATGTCTTAAAATTATTTGCTTATCCCAACATTTCATGCTCGAAAATATTCGTTCGTTACAATAATTCAACGAAAGAATAACGATAAAAACAAACAGTTAGTCACATTTTTTTTACATATTTATGTTATTCCTCGCGTTCTTCTATTTGGCTTTTTGCGTATGAATGCGAGATGTTTCGTCAGATTTACACATTTACACAGTTTCATTGGTCATCTCAGGTATTCTACCCCAGACTTTTCTCAAGTCAAAATAAAATAATGGTTACACAGATAAGTTCCATATGTTTCATTCGTCCCATTTATATAAATATTATAATACAGGTTTACGTATTGTATCACCAAATTTTTTCAAGTATAAATAAACAATTCTACACTAGGACAACAGGAAGTTTATTTCCATATTTTACCTTCCCCTTCCTTGTCATTAATTTTCTTGTCTTTCCCCATAAGCACACTTCCTCTCTTTTGGATGTTTAGTGTATAATCTAGTAACTTTACTGTACTTGGTTAAAACAAACGGTTCGTCGAACACTTTTTTGGGGTATGCACTCTCTGATTTGTACATTATTGTTGTGTATGTCGCTATAATGCTGTTTTCTATAACATTAAGGTTGAACAATTCATAAAGTGATTCAGTATCAATTGTTTATAAATGTAAATCAAAGGCAATCACAAGAGCATTTATTTTTCTGCTTTTTTAGTATTAAACTTACCCTACTTTGTAAGCATTGCTTGCACAACCTTACGTGGCTCCTCCATACCCTGGTGATGATATTTTCAGCGGATGTATACGGTCCCTAAATTTGATTGAGTATCAATTGTTTATAAATGTAAATCGAAGGCAATCACAAGAGCGTATATTTTTCTGCTTGTTTAGTATTAAACTTATCCTACTTTGTAAGTATTGCTTGCCTATTAACCTTACGCGGCTCCTCCACACCCTGGTAATGATATTTTCAGCGGATGTATAGGGTCCCTAAATTTGATTGAGACACAAATTGTTTTTAAAGATAACGGTGAGCTGTCGGGGATGTTAGGCATTCTGAAATTGGTCAGTTTCTTGGCTCCAACTAAGTTGTTCACAAATATATAATCCCTCATGGAGCAGAATTGTGTGTATTTGTATACCCGCTTCCACGGGTATTTCTTGAAGTTTTAAAACACGTTAATTTGTTTGCACTTACGATTATCTGAATTTTAGTGCAGGTAATTGTTTGTTAATATCGTCTTGCATTTCAAGTAAAGCTTGTAGATGTTATTTCCATAGAACAATAGAGTCTTCGCAAACCTAAGAAAACCTACTGTATAGAGGTCCATACATAATATTCTTTGCGTATAAATTAAACAGAGCCGGACCCCAAACAATGCTCCGGCATCCCCTTTCACTAACTGTTTTCCATCAATCTGAATTTCTTTTTTTTTTCTTTACCATCTCATTCTGGTTTTTACGGTTGACCGTGTATGGCTTCTCTAATTCCTGAAGAGCGCTACTAATTCCTAGTGTCTTATGTTATGCCATATTGTTTTAAATATTCTCGAAAATTTTCTAAATGCTTCATGTACATCTTTTTTTTTTTTTTTGTCTGGGTTCAGATTTAAAGGGGTGGTGCAACAATGTTTGTTTTTCCAGGAAATTCCGCCGAAACTTAATTTTTGACGCTAATCACCAAAGAAACACGCGTTAGCGTGTCTCGCCACCCAAGACGCTGATCTCGAGATCTTAGATGACAGTATCGACCAAGTAAATTAAGTCGTCCCTTTGCTGTATACTAGCGTGGCAGAGGCGGTGGGTAAGACAGATTGTGATGTGCTGGTGCGAAGAAACTGCGTACCCATGAGGAAAATGGATGGTTCTAAGTGGGGGGCCCTGTGTCCTGCAAAGTAAACACGTACGAGCGCTCCGTCCATGTCTTATTTGTGTGTGGCATCTTGTGCGGTCGCGGTGTAAATGCGATTTCCTCCGAGCCGGTTGGGGTGTGAGACGCAGCAGGCGGAGCGTGAAGGAAACAAAACAACGCGGAGCTCAAGTTCGTCTGCTTCTTTGGCGGGGCTTGTGGTGTCGTCAGAACGCCGCACTCTGATTCGCTCCCATTGGAGGATATTAACTTGAACGATTAATTCCGATTAAATTGCAAATAAATTAGGATCGACACATCTTTTTTTTTTATCGCGACGTCACAGCAATTGTCGCCATCTAGCGGGCACTGTACGAGACTCATGCGCACATCTGAGCTCCACAAATGCCGTATACAAAGCGAATTGTCAGAGTATGGCCTCTGTGTAATCAAGAAAAAAGAAAGAAAGAAGTGGCGTAGCTTTGCAAAAAAGAACACAAAAAGTGGCGGAGTTCCGTGGTAAGACGTCCGCTTCACACGCTGCGGACAAATGATTGAATCCTGGAAGCCCCGCGGCGGCGGGCAAGATCTTTTTCGAGCATTCGGCAGTATATAGGACGGACGCCTTATGTCATACTACGACAACTACTACGGTAACCACAAGGAGCGCCATTTGCAATCGTGGGAAGAGCCGATAACAGCGATCGCTGTAAAACAAAATTTGCAGCCAACGATAAGTGTCTTCTGCGAGCACCCCCGAAGCAGAACGGCGGGAAATGTCCGACCACTTTGTCCCTCTCGATCTCACCATTCCGGCCGTCGATCACTCGAGCTAAGAGAGAGTTTTAGTGCTGCGTATAGGAGAAAACGCCAACACTGTGCGTTTGCGTTAGTTCTGCGTGCTCCACACTGCGCATGCGCATCGCCCCCATGCGCCAGTCCAAGACCGCAGTTCGGGCTTCGCGTACGCGCAGTGTGGAAGGCGCAACGTTACGCACGGCGCTTGTGTTCGTTCGCGTTCTCGTTTAGTGCACACTGTACGTGCGTGTCACCTGCGTTCGTGTATTATGTGAGAGTGTCCGCGTGTGGTAGGTATGGGTCTGTGTCCATTCGTGCGCGTGCGTGTGAGCGGCAGCGTTCTTGCGAGTGTCATTTTATTTATGTGCTTCTTGGATCGTACAATTACGTGGATCTGCAACTATTGTTACTTGGGATCTAGATGTCGATCATTCGTCTGAACTTGCGCACTGACTCTCGCTTTGTCTTTTTTGTTCCTCGTTCTCTCTGCAGTTCAGTACGACGTGACGTGTTCGAGCAAGCAGCTGAAGGTGGCGGTGTTCGTGAACAACTCGGAGTCCGTCGTGTACCTGGAAAAGCTGAAGGGGTATCCAGGTAAGCAGCGATAACCTGTAGCCTCACTTTGTGCGCAGACCTGCGACGTCTTCTTTCCCGCAAAGCTCGCAACGCACGAACCAATCATTGGAGAGACCGGCGCAATACGATGCGCGGACCACGTTTGAAACCGAGTAATGCCACCTTAGCTAGAGATTTTCAGAACGCGAATCCGTAACCCAACCTAAAATCTTCGGTCCCACAGCTAATTCATCGTGCAAAAAAGACGGTATCCAAACACTGACTTCCTTCCATGGCGGTCACATTGATCAAATAAAAATAGCCTGCAGGCATGTAGGAAGCCAACATGATTCTAAGATGCTTGCAGATGCGTCCGTCATCATGGCTGCAGTGAACATGCGGTTTCATATTACGGATGATGGAATGTTTCGGGCTAACCACAACTCGCTTAAAGCCCATTAACAAACTTGTTTACGACCCAGTTCTTGTGAGCTCCTACACTGGCACGGTGGCGCCGTCTGTGACGTGACCCCGGAACTGCATTTCATGGTGATGGGATTGCCGCGCCCTATGCATCGAACTGCGCCAAAACGCTTACTCATCGACATTTTGCCCACATGTGACGAATTTGCGCCAACATTGCGCCAAAACTTAATTTCGCAATATTAGTGCTCAAAATAGAATACATCAGGCCCCGCTACATGGCCGTATCGTTACGGCAGGCTTGAATGTATTTCCAAAACTTTCATTATCGCCTCAAATAACGTCTTATTCCATTTGATCTCTTTATGAAAAATTGTCAACACTCAGACGTTTTGCAATGTTTTTTTGTTTTTTTCTCATGCTTGTTGTTTGTTTTGGCTTGATATCTGTCATCCTCCAGTGCGCTTGTCACCGTGCAGTGATGCACTGCAGTGAAGCAACAGCCGCGTCGTAGGCGGCGCCATTATGCATATCTTGCTTCGCCGCAGCGCTCCTTCGTGCTGAGCGGAAAGTACTCCTCCAGAGCGGGACGTTACGCACGGTCTCTGAACAGTATATTTGATAGACTGCGATATTCCGACGACATTTTTTTCACATTCGAGAGTCATCGAGGAGACTTGAGTACTACGAGAAAACTTTTATGGACTGCTCCATATGTTTAATTTTATGTCAAGTGTCGTTTAGTCACTTCCTTTATTTGGGTTTCATCCGTTCGGTCCTAGAGTGAATGCAGTAAATGAAAACTAAATTAGCTGGAGCAGTAATTGCAAGCATGTGATTTACCTAAACAAACTGGAAATAATTTTTTAACTTAATTTTTACGTGTTTTTAATGATAATTCTACTTATAAAATGAAATGGAAGATCATAATCAAACGCCCAAAGCTTTTTTTTTTTTTGTAAAATTAAGAATTTCTGTTTAATGACAACATTTAGTGCTTAAAAGAACCACAAAAAACATTAATTTGGATGCTTAAATTTATTATATTCTTACATATTTCAGTGGAATATACTCTTTGGTTTACTTTTGATTTGGTACCTAAACTAACCATGCACTGCAGTTTGTAATCGTTTTACCCTGTCTCGCACCTCTACGCGTAATTAAACTGCTAGCTACGGAATCACACCTGCCATGCTGTTGATGCCATCAAAAGGTTGCAGAAAAGCAGGAAGGCGAAGCACGCATAAACACATGTATCTTAACATGATATTCGAACTGTTATGAATAAAAATGAAAAATGTGCTTATGATCCAAAAATACTTTTTGCTGCGCAAAAACCAGACTTTTGGCCTCTTCAATAGCTGCTCCCTAATAATTCAGACCAATCACAGCACTGATTTCCCTAGGGCGAAGGCTTTGTACTCTTTGCAAGATCAAATGTACATACTAATTATGAGAAATGGTCCTTTATAACATTGTCAAAACTTTTTCGCGCCAGAAAAATGAACGATGCGCCGAAGGAATAAATAACAGGAACTACTGTAAACGACTTTATATGTTCGCGGGCTCAATATCTTGCAAACTTAGCGAAGTGTGATTTTCAGGAATATTTCCTGACAACAAAAAATTTTTCGAATGTGAGTGGTATGCTATGTATTTGTTACCGTAGAGAAACATTTTCGCGTTATCTATTTTTTTTTTAAATATATATTCAAATCGCGAAATTCGCGAAAACTGTATTTTTGCGAAAATTGAGACATTTATATTCTACGGCATTGGCGAGTTCCACGGCTAACCGATAGATGGCACCAGTGTGTTCTCCCTCTTAAGAGATCCTAAGTGCGTTTAAGTCACTCGCTCGTAAGCGGTCGCAAGTGTGTGAACCTGCCTTATTTATGACTACGGATGAGGTTATATTTAAGGATAATCACAACTCGCTCAGAATACACGCATTCTGCCTGTCACTGCTTTCCAAAGAGACAGAATGGCGACCAGGTGCTCTTTAATACGGCTATTAGGAACGTGGTCTCTGTCACAATTCCCTTTCCCCTTTTGGTGTTGGCGACGAGATGTTTCGTTGGTGCCAACTTGGGCTCTCTCCTGTGACGTAGCGAGTGTGATTCGAGCAGACGACGTACCGATTATCGCACGGAGTGGTTAAGCTGGTTCACTTTTATATCTGTTAATAACTCTTCATTTCTTTTAAAAGAAAATGTGTATGGCATGCGAAAGAGTGTTTCTGCATCGAATTATAGCGTCTCCAGGCCCACTTTAAAAGATACAATTTGTTGAAATGTTTGAAGACAAGAATGGAGCTTGATATGACAGCTTGCAAAGCGTGCTTCACGGCGTCTTTGGTTATTGCTTTGTTGAATCTGGAGAAACTCCCGTAGAAAAAAAAAATGACTTTGCCATCACACGTACCAAAAATTGTGAACAGCAGCAGAGGCTGCTGCTCGTAATTTTATCTACGTCTGTTACTCTCTTGGTGAAGAATTGCTTATTAACACTTTGAATTTCGCCATCACCAAAGTATAGGACCTGAGAGACATTTTGTTGCCTGGCGCAGTACACGTTTTGACTAATATGGACCTTGCCGCTACCGACGCTTGCGTCCTTGTGTGATGCGACAATTACTGCCGAGTATTCTTTATTTTTACGATACTGTGCGGACTAAGTCAAAGTGATAATTTTTACAGTAGCGCTTTTTTCCCCGAATGGAATGTGTGGCAAAAGAGTTTGCGACGTCACGACTTCTGCTCGATGAAAAAGCTGACATTTTCATAGCTTTATAAATTTCCGGGCTTGGCCCAGCAAGTCAGGGAGAGTGGTTAATTCGTTTTCCTATATTTTCCTTTAAGATTGAATATAAATTAAGAACAGTTCTCGCTTAGAAGCACGGCACAGATTCTGCATAAATATTATTTGGGTCCTCTGAAACAAACATAGAGACAGTCGTTATCCATAACCGATGTATAACTCAATTTCGGGACGCCCAAGTGTCATATACTCACCAATCTACATATTTCATGCGCGAATTGTTTTTTTGTTTCGTCCAACGGGCAAAAAAAAAAGAAATTTAGTTGAAACGACTCTAGGATCCACCCACCGCCTCTTCCAGCTAGTTTTTTTTAGAAATCATATTTATTGGTTCGCAAACTACAGAAACCAATAAGCTTGGAACTAATATGAGGCCTACACTCGGAGCACAGAGTAGAACCAAAAGCTAGGGTACATGGAGTCGCTTTCCGTGGAGCATTTACTACCTACGGAATAGGTTTTCGAGTTTCTTGCGCCCTTTTACAACTTGCGGGCATCTTCTAGCTCCGATTCCCACAAACCCTGTCTCCGGATGAATATGACACTGCAATACTTCGCTCTCGGCAAACGGGTTTATTCACTCACTCATTGCCTTGGGGGGTTTCGGGATCGGGGGACGGTCATCAGCGAGGCCGGGGGAGAGTCCGCTGCCCGAGCAGCTTCTCCGAGTCCCAGCGGTGGTCGTCCACACCGCGTCATGGGGACGTCGTCGTCCAGGGTCGCTGTCCGGTCCGTTTGTCGAGTCCGCCACTCGACGTAGTGCCCGCACTCCCCCGCGCCAGCGTCCAGCGCCGTCCGAGCTCGCCTCCGTGACCGGTCCCTTGTGTAGTCGGCAGCCCAAGCCCAAGCCCCCTTCCTTTGTCTTCGTTCCCCTTTTAAGACCTTCCCAAGTCCTTGTCCCGCCGACCGTCCAATCGGGAACCTTGCTGCGAGCCGACCCTCCGACGTCAGCGCTGGGTGAGGGGGCGCTTGCCCCGTTCCTCCCGGAGAGCTCGGACTTTCCGCGACAGGACGGCGACTGGAAACGGGAAGGTCACAGGGAACGAAGTAGCGCCCGACAATACGGCGGCGGGGACCGGCAAGGTCACGGAGAGCGGAGGAGCCAGGGAGAGGGTTTCCACAAACTTAGTAAGCTCTTTCTTTCTAGGTTTTTTCTCGTTCTGATACAAGAGAAATTACACTCTGTTCATTGCGGTAGGCGTTGTACTGAGGTAAACCTTTGGATATTCTATCTTTATTCTCCACACTGCTATACAGAAGAAAACATCACAACCCTAGAGCTTCGACAAATCAGCAGCAAACGTGTCTGCGTAGCGCAACGATATGCGTGCCACGCCTTCAGGCCATATAATGGAATATCACAAATATCACTTCATACACAAAACAATATAAAAAGAAAAACGGGTGAAACAGGTGTGTCGCCCGAACAACAGAAGAAACAAGCTAACAAGCCGAGGAACCTGCAGCGCCGTCTGCTCTCCCTGCTACCCGCTACGTCAGAAACGATGATGATGATAGCTAGAGAAATGCCCCTGTAGTTTGCGCTGTCCGGTAAAGGGGCCCTGCAATTACTTTTTTACTAATTTTTAATTTGCACCGGACCTGAGTGCACCGAACCTAGTAACTTAATAAAACTTTTCTTTTCTTGAGCCTAGATTTATTTTAAAAGTTATAGGCAAATTAGAATTACAAAAATAAGCAAAAAACAGCCTCCTTCATGACGTCCTTGGTTCCTCGAGGGGCCATGAACTAGAGGAGGGGTAGAGAGCTTAGCGAGCGCTCACGGGCTGCCGCAC